ATATATATATATATATATATATATATATATATATATATATATATATAAACCGCTTTAAACATTCTTCAACATGTTAACATACACTTCCAACTACAGACGCAGAAAAGTTTCCTGAGTGGAAAAAGTAAAGGTAAAGTTTTTATAAAAGTAACCAACGAGAGCAGCACATAACACAGCTACTGCGATGAACAGCAATAAAACCATAAGAAACTTTTTCTTTTTTCTCTTTTATTTTTTTTTTTTATTTTTTATTTTTTTTTTTTATCAGTATAAGTTGAAGACATGTGTGTATACAGGAAATTCCAAACATAACAAACATTACTGTTGGTGTTGCATTTTTTATTTTTTTTTTACTTTTATTTTTATTTTTATACTTTTCTTAGACAGCTAATGGTGCGAATGCACAAAATCTTTGGCGTGAAAATATTTAAACCTAACATCTTTACGTGCACAATCGCCCCCATAAAGTACAAATTTGTTCGTATGAAAACTAAAGTTATGGAAAATATTTAATTTGAAAATTTCCTACACATACACTGGCAGAGGAAGTCCATTAAACTGTCTTTGACGTTTTCGTACAATTGCAATACTGTACCTGCAGTGTAAGGAAAAATAATTCCGAACTAATTTATTAGCTAACTGTGAACGATAAACATTGTAGTCTACATATCACCATTGGGGGGGTGGGGGGGAAGTTATGCCTTTTTTGCAATGTTCAACAAAGCACCCTCTTCATATATATGTAAAATAGTCAAAGAAATAATAAGTTTTTCACTTATCAGCTAACATGTACCAAATACGAGGGCTAAGTTTAAATCATATATCATTCAAGTCGTATATCATTTAAAGAAGTTTCATACTTTCAAACTAAGTAATCTGAACATGATCTGACTTTAAATTTATTTACTTGATTCGGTATTTGTCTCCCTATGCACCTGTATTGCGGTGGGCAAAAGGTGATCATAATGTCCGTGCGCGGCGCGTTATTGATTAAATCAAATGAAGTGAAGACGAGTAACATTATTACAATTCCGCGATGTCGCGATGGAAAATTAAGAGCAACATCTACATCATCTTGATCTACAGATAATATTAGTTTGTAGAAGGAAAGTTCCCTAAATGGGCAAGGAATTCAATATGCTTTTCAAATGCATTTTTGGATTGATTATGTTTCATTAAATGCCTCAATATTGCTTATAATATTGACTTTTAGAGCTATCCAATCGCAAACAAATCAAATAACACAAGGACTCCACACCTACTATTTTACTTATAGGTGACGTTCTTCGTTCGCAGCGCATATCTATTCGTAGTTATTACGGCATAAAAATGTTGAGATGATGTCTATTAGGAAATGTTGAAAAGTTCAATTCGAAATCTATTCTATATAGTTTTAGTAAGTGGTATTTAAGTGAAGTAAACACGAATCGAAATTGTTGAGGAAAAATCGGATTTTTTTATTGCTTTCAAAATCACAAAAGTAGGCGTCACTTAAATTAATTAGAATTTATAAACTAATTGTGGCAATGCCATGAAATTTTGACACGTAATATACGTTGGAACATGTATACTATGTGCACATACATATTGATTTGTCAATACCGGCGGCATGTAAACTTCATCCCACGAAATTTATGTAATGATGTTTTAAGGTTCACTTTTAAAACCGATAAGCACTACACAATAGGAGTTAGTTAGTTAAGATGCAACTGTTAAACTGGTGTTTGCTTAATTATATACTAATGTTATTTATTGCGTGATAGTGAACTATTTTTTTTTGTTTAGCTTTCGTAAAATTTTCTGGGAGCATAGTTCATCTAAATGAAATCGAGTTTTTAGATAAGCAATGAATACTTACAATGAACTTGTAGTTTCATACGTTTGCTAACCGATGGGGGTACACCGTTTGATGCAATGCACATATATGCGCCCATTTCAGAGCGTGTAACTTTCGATAAGGTGAGCATTTCACCTTCAACAGCCAGCGCTGAAAGTATGCAAAATGAAATTAATTCACACATTCAGATATATGATGTATATATAGCACATAAACGACAACAGATCATTGCTATAAAATGTTGTTCATTAAATATTAAATAATTGATCCTAAATACCTTTCGTTTTTTGATGGGCACCGTTTCTTGCAATAATTTCTCGACCATCTTCGCGACGCCATGTGATTTTTGGTTTCGGATGACCGCGAGCACGGCATACTAATTTGGCTGAGCCGCCTTCGGGTACCATCATGTCACCGGATGTCTCTTCATTAATAATGTCGGGCGGTATAACAACTTCCAGCATAGCTGTCTTTTGTAATTTTATTAAACGAAAAACACACCAAAAGGAAACAACGATTAAAATGCTATATGCTGTGAAATATTTAAACATATTAATTTCTCTGCGAATGAATGAGCGAATGAATGAATGAATGAATGCCTGTTTGCACAGAATGTGTAAAAACATAATAAATTTCACATTTAGGCCATTTTAAATGCGTTAACGGTTATTATTATTATTGTTATTATTATTTATTTAAATTATTTTCTCTTTCGATTCCATACAAAGCGACCTCAACTGTCACATTGCTGGCAATGCTGGAATGTCCGCACTTTTCGATATATTTGTGGCATATGAGAATAAATATATATATATATATATATATATAAAGTCAGTAATACAATATATAGGCCATACATAACTATATCATACACCATGCATACATACATACATATATACATATATACGGAATGATGGCAAGTGTGGTTTGAATTGTTAAAGTAAACACATGTTTTATTTGCTTTTCACTTAATACAGTTTGTAAAAGTATGATTTCATTATACGGCTGCTTCAGTGCAATGCAAATTGATATGAAACAAAAATTGAAATAATCATCACCGCCGTTCTCAGTTTATATTGCAACCAACCGTCTCCTTGTCTCCCTTGTACGTTTTTTTGTTTTTTGTTTTTTGTTTCATTTTTTTTTTTTTTTTTTTTTTTCCTTTCTTGTCTGAATGGTGTTGATATTCACCTCTTAAAATTCTTCAACTGCAAAATGAATCCGCGTACACATGATAAAAGAGTATATGGGTGCGTTTGTGCATCTCTCTGTGTGTGTGCGTGTGAGTAAATATGTATACATATATTATAAATGTGTATATGGCTACGTATGGCTACATCTATTTATATATATATATATATATATGGCTATTGTAGATAACAAAAAAAAAAAAAGAAAAGAGAGATGACATCAGAGCAACACAGCGAAAATCGTATAAAATATTCAAAGTGTATTCATATGTCGGAGCCAGTTGCCGTGCTTTCGTATTCCATTTTCTAGGTCTGCTGTTTCTGTCATGCCTTTGTGTTGTTAGCATAACACTTGACAATATAACCACTTTCGTTTATTTTTTACTCTTTCCTTTTTTGCTGACTTTTTTTTCCATACAATAGTTTTTGATTCAGTGACAATATATGATTTTTTTTTTTTTTGTTTTTTTACCTTCTTCTTTTTTAGCTGTAACACTAAGGGTTACGAAAATTTCTCATTCACAATGTGCAACTGTCGCCAAATGCGTCAAATATACACAATCAATTCGATACCTTTGTAAAGTTACAAAAATGTAAAGCTATTTTTTAGATAAGCGCCAATAATGCGTATCAATCTGTCTGTCTCGGCTATCTATATCCTTGGCCGGCCCCGTTCCTGCAAATGAATTGTTGTTATTTGTTTGCTTTGATGTTTTTAACTAAGTTCGACGCCATTAGATTAGAGGATTGACTATCGGAAGAGTTTGTCATTTATTCTTGGCCGTAACGTTTCCATTGTCTACTTTCACTTAATAAGAGAAATTAAGCCGAATACGCATCATTGACACAGTTTGCATTTTAAATCTAAATTAAATGCGTCTCGAAATTTCGAACGGATTTCAAAAAACGCTTCCTAATTCCCAATGGGTTTTTTTTTTAATGCACATTTTTAAAACCAAGGACGAAAGAATATGTCCATCTGCTGGTTTCTGCCTGAAATTACAAAAGTGATGATAGACAGAGACCTTAAATTCCCTTTGCTACGGCTCTCTTCTTAAAACACGTTTCAATATTCACGTGGAGCAAAGGGCTGATCCCAATATCCCAAATAATAGCTTATATGCATAAAATTATATACGAGTTTGTTAAATCGAAAGTTGACTTTTTCCAATTTGAAATGAGGAAAAAAAACGTTATTGCAAAGTGATTTTATTCACGAACTCATGCTTACGATCTTTGTGGGAGTCTTTCTAAAATTCAATTCTTAAACTTTCACGTGAACTTTCACCCAATCATTTGTCGACGTTAAATCGAATTTATTTGTCCATTTATGATTTCTGATTATGACGTTTATAGTTTATTGGAGCAGACAAACGATTTAATGAGATCCCATAGGGATAAATATAACGCCATTCGATTTTTTTCGGCTAATTTGCAACAACATTTCTAGAGATGACACGACCATTGGATTTCTCTTTTAGCCAAATTATTTCGCATCGACGCATCGAATATTTTATCATTTCTCTCTCTCTCTCTCTCTCTATCTCTCCCTTTGCTTGAATCCGTATTTCAAATATATCGACATTGTCTTATTCACACCACGGAAATAAGTTGTAATAATGTTTTTCTGGCCTTCCATCCTTTCCATCCTAAGGATTACACATTCAGATAACAAGTCACACATGAAAGTTAATTTCTTATGAATGTACAAAAAGTTTTCTCACGGATAGAATAAGATCTTTCTAGAACGGCCATATCGATTGAAACTTTTCCCTAACACGTTTCTTGAACGAGCAATTACGTTAAAGGGCTTCACAATTACAAAGTATATTTTGACAAAGTCAAATCGAGATGGGAGCCAGCAATTTCTATAGGATAATAAGGTCAAAAACGAAGCAAACGATAGCCGATAAGACTAATGGTTTCATAAAATTTTGCTTAACGTTGTTAAAACAGTGATAGCCGGCGTAATGTATATGTAGTCTTTATGGGCAATTATTAGCGATTTCATTTCGATTTCATGATTGTTAAAGGGCGTATTGTCGCAAAATTTTGTTAGGCATCATGAATTTTTTCTCCATTCAGTCTTACGCTTTATGATTTTGAATTTGAAAATTTCCATAATAGGCGGATATATAGGAAAGTAGACGAAAGCGAGAGAGCGCGAGAGCGAGAAAGAGAGACAGACAGACAGAGAGAGAGAGAGAGAGAGAGAGAGAGAGAGAGAGAAAGAGAGAAAAAGAAAAAGAGAGTGTGAGTGATTGAAAGAGGGGAGAGGGAGGAGTAGGTGAACAAGCAATAAAACCCTGAACGACTTAACGAGAACCAAAGAATAATAAAATTAATTTGGTTTGTTTACGAATATGTTCTGATGACCTTTACTTGATCAATTTTCACAAGTTTTATGTTTTCGAGAGAGGCATTGGTTTCTATATATATTATATAAATATTCAGTTCATTGCACATATACAGGAACACTGTTGACAGACCGATATGATTTTTTGACACTATTAGCCTTCAAACGCTACAACTCGGAAAATTCATAACATTCTGATAAATAATTCAGAGGTTATCGTTGTTGTAGTGACGCTACATATCTTATATTCGAAACAAGGCGAATCTCTGAATTTCATCGATTGATTAAACGCTTCATCAAACATTCAATCAGCCATGCTTTGCTAGACTGACTGGTTTGCTAATTTAAAACGAATTCATATGGATGTCGATAATGTCGAACGCTGCCTCCGCCCGAATCGGAAAGTTATTGCTAAAAAAACTTGCAAAAGGTGCACAAAATCGTTCCCGAAGATCGAAAATTAAAGTAGCTTGAGATAGCTGACACCTTAAAGGTATCAAAACATAACTTTACTCATTTATAATTTTTCATGGACATTTATCCAGGAAGTGTAAGCCGAATTTGCTCACTTTTGGCAACTACGTGTCGACGAGCCAAAGCGCTGCTTGATGCTGCTTAGGCGCAACACAAGACAAGACTTTCCCATGCGATATGTGACAATGGATGAAACATGGACTTATTGCTACACTCCAGAATCAAATTGGCAATCAACTGGCGAAAGCAAAGGGCAAAAGTCAATTCGGACCAAAAGGAATCAAGGATCAATAGCGAATATTATCCTTTTATATGGCGAAATGACAAGTAAGAAAGAAATACTTGACAGGACGATGAAGTATCGTTAACGGCGCTAGCTCTGTATAAAGTTGACATAACAACCGATAACTGCTCATTTATGAATGCAAGCATAATATTATCACAAACATGCACAAAATATGGTAATAAAACTATAGAAATTTATATATATATATATATCAGATATATATATATATATGTATGGTTTCGTTTACATGTAAAAGAGCTTTAAATGTGCACGATTAAGCAAACATTGATTAATCGCAAATATGCTGCAATTTATGCATATGCTTGTGGAAATGCTCTTAAAAGTTCGATTAACCTCTAACACGAAGATAATGAGAAATCAATGAAAAGCCAAAGAGTAAATTTATCAGGGCTTAAGCAATCAGCTCAAATAAAACGATTTATGTTAAAATCTTAGCAGCATAAAGTTGAAGGTACGAACAATAATTTTCTCAATATGAAAAATTCTTAGATTTGATTAAAGCATTAAATAGCTTGTATTTATTTCTATTTATTACTTGAATAATTTCTAAATAAAATTTGAATAAAAAATAATATATATTATTTATTATTAAATTTCTCGTTTTAAGGTATTTTTTTTAATAACAAAAAAAAAAAAAACAAAACACAAATGCTTACAATTTTTGTAAAAATAAATTTCTGATAGAACGTTCCCTGATGAAAGGAAACAATTTTTTACACATAGATTGTTCTCTCTACTCTCTTTGTTGACGCATACAATAGGGAAATATTATTTGAATATTTCAATTAAAAAATGCTTTTACTAATTGAACAGCACGCTATTCTACTGTAAAAAAAAAAAAAAAAACAAAAAATTATAGATGGTTTGAGCGGTCAACGGTTGATTAGAATTCGGTCAAACTTTTAATTTATTAAAAAATTGTTTCCACACACAATATATATATCATATATCATATCATATCATATCATATATATGATTATTCGAATAATATAATACTTACTTGCATTTTCATTGGATCTGTATTAACTTGGCACATGTACTTGCCGGCATCCTCCATTTTGACGTTACGTATATTTAGTGTCCATGTATTGTAATCGTTATGTGTCACCGATAATCGATCGTTGTTCGTTATCACATGTTCATGAATTGCTAAAATTGCTTTGGCGTCCGCTTTAATCCAAGCCACCTATACATCATATCGTGATAAGCGTGCGGCGTATATGGGTATATAACGGTATATTTGACGAACATCGCGCATATTCACATCGCGAAGGATATTTTATTTTATTTTTTTTTATTTTTTTTTTTTGTGTTTATCGTCATTTCGTTTTAATATTTGAGAGATGAAATGTGTTTGTTGAGTTATATATAGATCATCGAAAAGATGTTCATGTTTTATTGTGTATACAGTAAGTAAGAGTAAATGTAAATCAAGTATTCAACGTTTATGAAGAGTTTCAAGGTTTTAACCATTCGCCAGATGTTTTTAAATTGCATTTTGATGTGTACCGTTTGTATATCGTTTGGTTACGAAATATGTATATATAGTTGAAATATATATATATATATAGAGTTATATAGTTGAAAGCCGAATAAGAAGAAACGTTAGCGAGTTTATGATCATCAATGCCAGTTTAGATAGGAGCATCGTCATCATTATCGTGCAGCATCATTGTCATTGTCAACGTCAGCGTCCATTATCATTGTTCATCATTATAAAAATAGTCATTTGTCGGCATCCGTTTGGTTAGAGTCAGTCATCAGCATTTATTTAGCAATTTCCGTAGTTTTTGTTTTCATTTCAAATCCACAAACCGTACCAGCAGCAGCAGCAGCAGCAGCACCACCCAGGCAGGGAGAGAAAAAATAACAAGAATTTCATCGTTGTTTATTTCGCCAAACCACACCACGAAAATTTTCGTTTGAAAATCGATTTGTGGATATATTTAGTAAAGTAATAGTGGCAGTGTAGACGAGAATGAATATACACACACACATATGCAATCAAGCAGCCAACCAATCAACCCAACCAACCAAGTCAAATATGACCCAGGCAACGTAGTCAGATAACATTAGTATGGACACATATTCACAATCAGCCATCATCCATACCATGTTATTGTTAGTGTTGGTAGTGGTCAAATATCATTTCGTAACCATCATACGATGCCATTTCCCATCATGTTTGCAATACCGTTGTTCGTATTCGATGTTTTTGTTGTCGTTTTTTAGTATCATTTTAGTAATGTTGGCGGCATGGATTAATATATCGTTTCAAACATTTGTTTGTATTTTTTTTTTTTGTTTTTTGTTTTTTTTTTTTTTTTTGTTTGTGGTTGAATTTTGGGTGTTTTGTTTTGTTTTTCGTTTTCGGTTTTAAGGGATTTCGTTAAAAGAATATGGAAACAAGTGCAATTAGGAAAATCGTTGTGATTTTTGCCACAGTGTTTATTGTTGTTGTTGTTTTGTCGCATTGCATTTATATATCCAGACATACCGGGTTTTTGTTATTGCGACGAGAATCAACAGCGAACAAAAAAAAAAAAAAAAAAAAAAAATATAGAAAAAGAAAAAATCAATGCAAGATAGAAAAGAGCAAAAAATTATTTTAGAGACGAATAATCAAAAAATTCCATTTTATTAATAATTTTCATTTATACAAGTAATGTGAGCTGAAATTCACACACATTCATATATATGTATATATATATATATATATATATATATTCATATATATATGTATATATATATTTATATATAAACAAACATACAACTAACGAACTTGACAAAAACGAAAAATAATATCTATAAAGGAAATAAAAAGGAAAAATAAGATGTAAAAGTGGTGCAATAATTGGTGCAATATTGAACGTAATCCAATTAATAAAATTTATGCAGAGATATTTTTTTTTTGTTTGTTTTTTGTTTTTTTTTTTTGATAATTAAAGCTAACATTATTAAGCATTTACTTAATATATATAACATGCATGTACATAAACACAGATTTAAATTAACCTAATCGATAAATAATATCTGTTATCATAAAAACATATCAAGCAGACAATCCGCCAAAACAATCATTTCATTCATTACCTTTTATGCTTTAAAAACCTTTTTATATACATATATATCTATATATATATATATATCTATATATATATATGTATATATTAGCAAATAAAATTCGTAGTTTTCTCTTCAAAACAATATCGATCCGTTGAGAAAACAAATTAGCGGAAATGCGATATCCCAAGGAGGCTAAGACGCCTAGTCATTTAAGCTTCTAATTAAAGATAATAAAGTTCAGTTCTTTTCAATCAAAGTTGTGATCGTATTATCATCTATCTACACTTATATGTTTTTTTTTTTTTGTTTTGATATTGACATTTAAATAAATTACTTGAAGTGTATTATATATAGTGAGGCAAAAATTTTCACTTTGCTTTCATTTTTAATTATCATAGCATTTCATGTTACTTTCATTCAAATATAGCAACCGTGCGTAGATAGATGAGTGAACGAATTTCGCATTAACATACATATGTTATTAACAGTTGTGACACAAGAGAGTCAAACCTGAGAGTCTTGATTGGCATTGGCCAATCAATCTTCAAGAGATATGCTAATTGACTAAAATCATTCAAGGACTGACTCACTATATTTAACACCTAAGATCAATGTTATACGTCTTCAAGAGCAAAGACAATAGGCATGTTAGGTGGCATTATGTACAATGCACAATTAAAGTACAAAGAAAACAAACAATAATTGATGTATTAAATTATTAAGTCCTTGCATGTATTTTGATCAGAACATATATTGATGAAAATGATGTCAATGTGCCCAACGCTTCAAATTCGATGATTTTGACCATCGTCTATATAAAATAATAATTTTGCATTTAGTATTAGTGAGTTATTCAGTGTATCCAGCTGCTAATCATGGAAAGCTGGAAACGGCCGCCATTTCTTTTGTAGTTTGATTTGAAAACATCTACTGCCGACGCCCATCAAATACATTGGGAAGCTTATGGTGATGCGACTCCAGCAAATCCCAATTGTTCGTTTTGGATTTCGACGGCTTAAATATGATGATTCCGATGTCAGAGACAAAGAACGGGCTGGAAGAGAAAAATAGTTCGATGGCAATGAATTGCAAGACTTATTGAACAAAAAGCCAACTCAGCTTAGCAGTTGATGAATCAACGATTTCTTAACGTTTATATGCTGCCATTTTGAAGTGTTTCAATATCCCGGTTCCATTGCTTGCCAAGCAAAAAAAAAAAAAAAGAAAAGTTTATTACGACGTATTGTGACTGGCGATGAAAAGTGGATTTACTACGACAATCCCAAGGGCAAAAAGGTCATGTGTTAGTCCAGGAGAGTCATCCTCATCGCGACCGAAGCGACCGAATATTCAGGGCCATAAAATTTTGCTATGCATATCATGGTATCGCATCGGCAAGGTCTAGTGAAGTCTGAGCTGCTAAAACTGTTCAAAAGTCTTACTGCAGATGTCTATCGACATCAATTAAACAAATTGAACGACTTCTTGTTTCAACAAAGACCAGCAATAGCGGTTAACAAACGCAAAGTCATCCTTTTGCTCCTCCACACATTGCAAGACTTGTCATTGTTGCAACTCCCCCGCGCACCAACGTCCTCTCTACACACAGCACCTTCTAATTGCCACTTGTTTAGATCGATGCAGCTTGGCTTGGCTGACATGCGTCGATTATTGGATCGCTGCCAAACCAATATAGTTCTTACGACATCGTATCGTCACGTTGCCAGAAAGACGGGAAAAACTTGAGGAAAATGATGGAAAATTGATTGATGAAAAAATGATTAGAATACATGCAAGCGTATTAATGTATCGTTAAAGTATCGTTAACGAGAACCGATTCACTAGTCCACTGCAAAAACTTCTATTTATTATTAGGATGACATAGCGGAACTTTTGAAGGGATTCTCGAATACAATAGATTGTCAGAGAGACAATAGTATAGAGTGCAATTGGAGTGCTGTACAATTCTTATTCTCATTCTTATCAGTGTAATATAATCAGCTTTCAAGTATCTTAGTTGAAAAGCTGAAATATTCTTCTCACTTTCATCCAATAAACGGATCTCTTAAAGTAAGAAATCATAAACCAATCATCTAAAATATATGTATCACTACTAATGTATTTCTAGTATTTGGACCTACAATAGTGTAGTGCGCGATAATATAAATGTTCGTTATTCGTACGAAACAAAAAAAAAAAAAAGAATGAAAGTCATGAGTTATTAAAGAATAATAAAATTAATTGTAAAAATATTTTGTGAAAACCAATTATCGATTACTAAATAATCGTTGACACAAAAAACTTTACGGAGTGGGATTTAGTCCGCAATTGAAAAGAATAATTAAGTGGGAAACCAATTGACGATAATGGATAAAATTCAGCGATAAGAAGATTTACAATGGTGTACGTATGCTATTAAGTATCAGACCTACATGCGTAACACGGAGATGGTCACGAAATGGTGCGGAGATAGAGGGATAGAGAGTGACCTCAGCCTTGTGAATGAATGTGTTCAAACCGCATTGAGATCTAGATCAACAAATAGCGACTTGATGATCGAAACTCTTATCTATTTGGCTATGTAAGTGTGTACCAAGTGTGCAAGAAAATAGTAATCCGAAGTGTTACCCATTTCTAGTAACACACTTTTCCCATCTGGCTGACGATTTGCGAGAGCCACGGGCGGGGTACTCTCTTGAGGCAAAGCCAGTCATCGCGTCATTTACAAATATTTCTGAGAAATGTCAAAAGCTACTCGGCACGCACGTGTTCCATCGATCCAAATAAGTGTTAATTGATAGGCTTTCAGTTTGATTAGTGGCCAGCACAGGTTAGCAATTCTCAGTTGAGTTTCGACGATTCCAACGTATCGCAAACCGATTTCGCTGCATGGACGGACGGATGGACGGATGTCATGTAAAATATTGACCACACTGCTCTGATTCTAACTTGCGGTGATGGGAACCGACCACGAAGAATTTATCGGAAGTTGTTTGCTTGCAGATTTCTTTACTTTGTGGTCAGCCAGTTATAATGCAGGTCCAAGATTTATCACCTATCTCAGTATTATTGAGGAGGCTAAAGAAGCAGTAATGTGATGAATGCGTGCTTGACGTTGCT